CCTAAGATAAGCTTAAGATTGGTACCAATGTATTATCCTCTTGGAATATCCTTGGCCCTGATTTGCAATTTAAGATAATTTTGAGGAATTTATCTGTGGTTTTCATTTCTTTTAATATCTTGTCAGTTTGGGGAACCAAGGTTATGTTGGCCTCATAATACTAGTTATAAAGTCTTCATTCTCTATTTTCTGAAGGGTGTTATACTTCCTTTAATATTTTAAACAATGCATCAGTGGAGTCATCTTGTCTTGAATTTTTCTTTGGAAGGTTGTGTATGTGTTTGTGTGTAAAACAATAACCAGGTTATAACAGTCATAATTTTGTGGGTTAAGAATTTAGGCAGGGCACAGGAGAAAGAGCTCTTTTCTCTTTTATCATGAATGAAGGAAATGCATCTATTATTTATAGTTATAATTTTAGGACCAGGAGAGTCATTAAAGATAATCTAGTCTATCTGGTCTAAAAGCCATTTGGTCTTAGAGTTTTACTTTGTACATAGTTATTTTAACTCTACATACAGTTCAAATAAATTTTTGAATTTTAAATTTTGTGCCCTTTTTTAGTTTTCTGAGGTTCGTTCTCAGTTATCATCTCTTCAAATGCTGCTTCTGCTCCATGCTTTTTCTCATTTTCTTCTGGTGCACCAATTATCTAAATATTTGATCTTACATATATACACATATATATTTTATTGCAGAACATGCAGGATTGTTGCATAGATACATACATACATGACTATGTGGTTTGCTACCTCCATCCCCTCATCACCTGTATCTGGCATTTCTCCCCATGTTAACCCTCCCCAACTCCCTATATCCTGCTGTCCTTCCACTAGTCGCCGCCCAACAGACCCCAGTGTGTGATGTGCCCCTCCCTGTGTCCATGTGTTCTCATTGTTCAACATCTGCCTGTGAGTGAGAAGATGCAGTGTTTGATTTTCTGTTCTTGTATCAGTTTGCTGAAAATGATGGTTTCCAGATTCATCCATGTCCCTACAAAGGACAGAAACTCATCGCTTTTTGGCTTATAATATTATGGCTGCATAATATTCCATGGTGTATATGTGCCACATTTTCCTTGTCCAGTCTATCATTGATGGGCATTTCAGTTGGTTCCAAGTCTTTGCTATTGCAAACAGTGCCACAATAAATATATGTGTACATGTGTCTTTATAATGGAGTGTTTTATAATCCTTTGTGTATATACCCAGTAATGAGATTGCTGGATCAAATGGTATTTCTATTTCTAGATCTTTGAGGAACCACCACACTGTCTTCCACAATGGTTGAACTAATTTATACTCCCACCAACAGTATAAAAACATTCCTATTTCTCCACATCCTCTCCAGCATCTGTTGTCTCCTATTTTTTTAATGATCGCCATTCTAACTGGAGTAAGATGGTATCTCAATGTGGTTTTTATTTGCATTTCTCTAATGACCAGTGATGATGAGCTTTTTGTCATATGTTTTGAGCTTCTGCACAGCAAAAGAAACTATCACTAGAGTGAACTGGCAACCAATAGAATGAGAAAAAGTTTTTGCAATCTACCCATCTGACAAAGGACTAATAACCATAATCTACAAGGAACTTAAACAAATTTACAAGAAAAACAACAAACAATCCCATGAAAAAGTGGGCAAAGGATAGGAACAGGCACTTCTCAAAAGAAGATGTTTATAATATTACTTTCAAATGGAACGCAAAAGACCATCTGTAGCTCATCACATGTGGTTTTGCTTTTCAGCTGCCATTAGCTTGTGTTCAGGATCCCATAACACCACAACCAGGTCCAATCTTCATGGTGACTTCTCTTCTACTGGCCAGATTCTAAACATTTTCTGTTCTTACTTCATTGTAAGAGTTTCAAAAATATAGAATTTTAATGATATTTTAGCCAGTAGCACCATGCCTGTGTTTTCAACTTATTAATAAAGACTTGTTCTCCTAAACCTAAAATATTATATCTTATTTCTATATTAAATCATAAAAATATTTATCAGCAAACTTGAGCATATAGTTCTCCTTTAAGTTCTTCTAACCATGCATACTTAATGCACTTAACTTTTAACCTAGTAAATATCTCTACTTCAGTACAATAACTTCCCTCTCATTAGAACAACCCGGCAAAGAGGGAAAATGACATTGAAAGCATGTATCCCCATAGCCACATCTGTCACATTTTCTTTCCAGTTGAACAACTCTGCTATGCCTCTGTCCTGCTCTCTATGCTCCTAAGCCAGGGGTTGGCAAGCTATGGCCTGTAGGCCAAATCTAGCCCTCCTTCTGTGTTTGTAGGGCCTGTGAGCTAAAGATGGTTTTTTTTTACATTCTAAATGGTTACATTTTAAATTGTTCTTTAAGTACCTACATCACATCTTTAATTTTGGCTCTGGAACTGCAAAACCTAAACTATTTACTATGTAGTCCTTTATGGAAGACTTTGCTGCTCCCTTGGTGAACTCAGAATGAGTCCTGTGCCACTTAGGCATTAAGTAAAGTGCAAAAGGGGATTCATTAAAGCATTAGTTCTCTCCGTGCAGTTGAAGCTATGTCAGGGGTCACCAGACTTGGTTCTACTAATTTTAATGTTCAAGTGGGACAGTAGCTCTGATTTTGCATGGGGAATGCACATGGATCATATTCTTGCTGCTGCAGTTGAATGGTGGTCCTGGTTGTGGGGAGAGGCATTCTTTCTTTCCCATCAAGTGCAAGGGGGATGGAGGGAGGAGGGGGATGTGAAGCAGAGGCTTATCGTCAGCGTTTATTATATGTCCCGAAGGGCTTCCCTCATTCCACAAATCTAACAACTTAAATTTATCTTATTCCCAGTGTTTTATTATTATTAAAGCTAAGGCTAATGTCTGGGTGCGGTGGCTCATGCCTATGATCCCAGCACTCTGGGAGGCCAAGGTGGCTGGATCACTTGAGGTCAGGAGTTCGAGACCAGCCTGGTCAACATGGTGAAACTCCATCTCTACTAAAAATACAAAAAAATTAGCCAGGCATGGTGGTGGATGCCTATAATCCCAGCTACTTGGGAGGCTGAGGCAGGAGAATTGTTTGAACCCAGGAGGCAGAGATTGCAGTGACCTGAGATCTCACCATTGTACTCTAGCCTGGGAGACAGAGTGAGACTCTGTCTCAAAAGCAAAAACAAAAACAAACAAACTAAATACTAAGTCTAAAGACTAAGGACAAAGAACTCTAAAGTTGGAACAAAGTCTTTAGGAACCTAAGATACCATACAAAGTCTGGAAATTTTGGGTGGGGGTACTCTTCTCATCTGGGTCAAGCTGCAGGAGAAGCATTGTATGTAAATAGTTTCTGCTCATTTTGAATGGAAATAAGATGATTTTTTTGAATATTGAAACTAAAAAATTACCTAGGTTGCATGTTAGAAAATTTCAGGTAAGCACGTGTTCCTTCACCAGAGTGATCACTTTTCTCACCTATAGTCTCACAACATCAAAGGCCTGACTGAAAATGCGATTGCATATTCCAGCATACTATTGTTTAGGTTTCCATAGTTTATCCTCTGCCAACATGGCTGACTTTTCTCAGGGGAAGAGAGTGGAGAAGGAAAGGCAGTACTTTGTGAGATGTGATATTTTGGGGTCTGGTCCTTCGTTTTGTATGTTCAGAAACGTGATTTGTCTTTTCATGCAAGCCTGATTGGGCTCTTGGGCAATGACTCACAGTAATTCAACTGGAAGGGAACTGATTTGTAAACCAGATGCCAGTTTGTTCCTTTGCAATGGGAGAAAAACTTGTCATGAGGCCCAGGGCTTGCTGATTCCTGCTGGTGGAGGAGCTCTTTCCCTCTGTGCAGGGGAATTGGAACGGGGGCCGGGCAGGGGGGCAAACGGAAGTTGTTAGCAAGATTTGCAATGAGACATGGATGGCTTTTAAGGCTATTTGCATCACCCTTTTACAGCCCTTTGGAACATTTCTACCTGAATAACTTGGATTTATCCAGATCAGAGTTTAGCAAACTATGGCCTATAGACCAGCCACTTGTTTTTGTGAATGAAATTTTATCGCAACACAGCCATGCCCCTCCATACATGCATTGAATACAGCTTCCTTCTACAACAGAGACCCTGTGACTTACAAAGGCTAAGAGATGGACTCTCTGGTCCTTTATATGGGTCTGCAAACCCCTAATCTAGACAAGCAGTTTTCAAGCTATAGTTGTGACCTGTTAGGAGTTTTAAAATCAGTTTAAAGACTTAAAACCAGCAGTTTATTTTAAGAGGAATAAAAAAGCATAGAAAACATCAGAGTCCATTTTTTTTTGCAGGATAAGTATTATTTTATGAAAACTTTTTTTTTTTTTTTTTTTTTTGGAGACAGTTTCGCTCTTGTTGCTCAGGCTGGAGTGCAATGGTGCTGTCTCGGCTCACCGCAACCTCCGCCTCCTGGGTTCAGGCAATTCTCCTGCCTCAGCCTCCTGAGTAGCTGGGATTACAGGCACGTGCCACCATGCCCAGCTAATTTTTTTTTTGTATTTTTAGTAGAGACAGGGTTTCACCATGTTGACCAGGATGGTCTCGATCACTTGACGTCGTGATCCACCCACCTCGGCCTCCCAAAGTGCTGGAATTACAGGTGTGAGCCACCATGCCCAGCCCGTAAAAACTTTTTTTGTATGTATATCTGCAGACATAGGTATATGGCCCCGGGTTCACAACGTAAAATATGTTTTTGCATTGAGAGTGAAATAAAAAGTTTTAAAATAACTAATCTAGAAAGAATCTCTTTCTCAGACAATTCTGAGAAGCACCAAACAAATCTAACTTTTTGGCTCCCCTTCTTCCTACCATCATGGTTTATAATTTACGATAATAATATTGATACCACATCATCATTTTCAAATGTCTTCCTTACAAAATCCCCATGAAATTTTCACGTCAAACTTTGCAAAAAAACAAAAACAAAAACAAAAACAAAACCAACTGTTACTCCTGGTTTAGAATTTGGAAAGCCAAGCCTCATAGAGTTTTCTGCCTTGGCAAAGACTGCAGTTCTCATGGATGAGGCTTGTCTTGAAACCCAGGTCTTCTGTCTTGTCTGGTACCTTTCCTAACATGTGATTTCTTTCTAGGGTCTAAGAAACTCCTTCCTGTCTGACAATGCCTCCAAAGTTTTAGGATTTTCAGGATTACCTTTATATTCTGTTTTACACTGATGGCTTTGGGATAAAATGCCCTGGAAATATCTCTCTCCAAAACCATCCCTAGAGAGAAGTCTGATACATTGTGGCACCACAGTCCTCTTCATCATCCCTCTGTGAGGTCACCAAGGACTTACAAAGAAAAGGATCCCCCATTAAATGAAAAGACTAGAAAGTGGAGGGACAATGACCCACCCAGACACCATATTTCCTCCTCCATCCTTTCTCTCCCCAGGGGTAGGAGAAACAAGTTATAAAATTATCAGGCACAGAGGAGCCATGGGTTCTTGAGGTATTGGGGAGATTCATTTTAGGGACTGGAAAATTCATCTGCCCCTGGCAAAGGACCTTGGAAGAAGCGGCGTGAGTCAGCTTCAGGCCCAGCTGCTCACCTTGGTGGCCCACATTGCACTGGTAGCTTTTCACCCACATGAACTCGGTTCAGCCTGAACAGCTTAGGTGACAGCTGGATTGAGAAAAGCTGTGGCCTGTGTGAAGCTCACAGGTGGCAGAGGCAGAGCTAGGACTCAGACACAGGCAATCTGACTCCCCAGCTCACATTTTTAAGTCCCCTGGGTATTGCCTGTTTTTGAATGCAGAGAAAGGAAAAGCTCTTGAGCCTGTATTCTTTCAGGTCACAAAGTCTAAACTACCCAATGAGGAAACCGGGGCTGGGGTGAAGTCTACCCAGGAATCAGGCCCACGGTTGGCTGGACCCACCTCCAGGCTGTCAGGGTCTGCACAGCAAGACAACTGAAGAACAGCAGGGGAGAGAAAGATTTGCTAAAGATGTTCATATGGATAGGAGGACAGAATAACAGCACAGAAACAGAGCCCCACTCAGTCTTTAGAGAAATAGATATCAGGGTTCAACCCTTCCTGCTGTCACTTCGAAACTCAGAGGAAGACATCTGTTTTGGTGACTGTCCTTTTCCATTCAGGTGGCTATGACAAAATACCATAAACCACATAATTTAAAAAGAACACACAATTACTTCTCTCAGTTCCAGAGGCTGGAAACCCCAGGATCAAGGAGCTGGCAGATTTGGTGTCTGGTGAGGGCCCACATGTTGGTTCATAAATGGCACCTTCTCGCTGTGTCCCTTGAGCCCTTTTGTTTAAGTTCCGAGGTACATGTGCAGGACGTGCAGGTTTGTCGCACAGGTAAACATATGCCACTTGCTGCACCTGTCAGCCCATTACCTAGGTATCAAGCCCCGCATACATTAGCTATCCTGTCGCTCTCCCTCCCCCCAACCCACAGCAGGCCCCAGTGTATGTGATTCCCTCCCCGCGTTCTCATCCTCCAGCTCCCGCTGAGAAGTGAGAACACGTGGTGTTTCATTTCTGCTCCTGTGTTACTTTGCTGAGGATAATGGCTTCAATGCGGTACACATACACCATGCTGCCTTTTAACAAGGGCATTAAGAATCCTCATAACCTAATCACCCCCCAAAAGCCGCCACCTCTTAATACTTTGTATTGGGGATTAGGTATCAACATGAGTTCAGGGGGTGGAAGGAAGTGGGGGAGCACAAACATTCAGGCCTTAGGGAAGATGATGGTGCAAAGTCAACACTCCTGCCTTTTCTTCCTGAAAGTCAGCAGAAACAAGAGAATAGAGCTAAAAACACCAGCTCCATTTTCCATACCGGGACCGCCTGACGGCTTGGCAGCTGATTGGGGCGCACAGGAATATTTCCTGAGCACAGATTCTGTCTGAAGTGCAAGTGTCCTGTGTGGCCAGGACTAATAGCTGTGGAGACTGCTGGGACTGCAGGGGCTGCCCGTGACCACCCCCAGTGCCCTTTGCAGACACAGAGGAAGGTGTTTTCTGAAAATCCCTCAAGGCCTGGCAGGAGGCTAATGAAAATACCAGTAAGGGGTGATTCCCCCAGGAATACACTTCAGAGGCTGGAGGCTCCTTCTTTAATTTTTTGATGACTGTGGTAAACCAGAGGGTGTTGAGGAAAAGCCTAATCAAAGCTGTAGAACGTTGAACAGTCACTTTTGTTTGGAAGGACTGAGCTGTCCAATGATTTAATCAGGGTTGATGCTTTCTTGAAGAGGAAATCCACCTGAGCCAGTGGATTTTCCAGCTAGCATATTAACTCATTCTAGAGACTGATGTGAGCTTTCTAATGGGACACTTGGGAGTGAAGGTTTGGAAGAGGAGAGAGAGAAAGAAAGAAAGTGAGCAATAATGACCGTCAGAGGGGAGAGAGGAGAAGATAGCCAAGCAATGTTCTCAAGGACTGGCTGGTGTGACACTGTTTCAGAGCGTCAGAGAAGGGTTTCAAAGTAGCTAAACCCCTTGGGTAATTGCATGTTGATGATATTTATTGGCAAGCCTTCCAGTGCCTTCTGGGGATACCCATGTCACAGTTCATTTTAGTCTCCAACAGTCCAAAATAATATGAGAGAGACACAGAATGGAGAGTGACTCAGGGTGGTAATGGTGTAGAGGGGTGTCTGGATGAGGCATAACCTTGAGGCTGAACCTGATGTGGTACATGCAAGGATGTGGTACATGCAAGGATGTGGTACATGCAAGGATGTGGTACAGGTCAACATAACCACCTGCTGTTCATTGTCAAAAGACTCAACACTGTGGAGGAGATAATGCTTGATGATCTTTAAGAATAAATAATTATTTTTTAAAATTTCCTTGTTACTCTAGTTCAAAGCTGATATAGGTACCCAAATAGCAATGTCACCCACCCATCCATCCCTTATCCATTCATCTGACTAATCAAATATGTGTCAAAAGCTACAGAGGCCAGGAGCTGGGGCAGAGATGAATAAGACAAACTCCACGTGCACAAAACTCACAGTCCTGCACAGGTGCATGAATAATGATGATGAAACTCCATTAGAGATATAACCTAGTTAACAGCCAATGACGTCAGAAGAGCCGGGCGTAGATGTTATCCCCAAGGTGTGGCAGATGTTTCTTACCTCCATGGAGGCACAAAGCTGTGTGTGGCATTCTTTCTCTTGTTTGAGAGCTGAAGCAAACCCTCAAGGACCTTGTTAGTTCTGTCAAAGGACTGTGCTCTGTTTCTTTCTCATGGCAACCAGGTGAGCTGGGGCTGCTGGCCCAGCTCAGCCAGTGCTAAATTCAGGGACTGGTGACTAAGGAGCTCTAGCGAAGCTCTTACCAGCGGGTGTGTTTATGATAGAAGACACAGTAATGCTAATTCAGTTTAGCAATGATAATCTGTTAGTGAGGAGTAACTGGGAACCAATGCTGGAACCAAATACTCATTACACCTGCAATTAATTTGGGATGATGTGTGTGTGCGTGTTTGTGTGTGTGTGTGTGTGTGTGTGTGTGTTTGTGGGGGGGTGAATGCATCCATACTGAGATATATAGTGATATAGTATATAGGGTCTGGATACATAATATGTGCATAAATATATTTTATGGAGATATGTCTGAGCTTCAGTCAGCCTATTAGCAAATATAATTGTGTACATTCAAAATAGTTTTTTAAAAGCATAGATTCTGTTCTTAAAAATAATTTTAAAATATTATAATTCTCATTAAATTAAAAAAATAATCATTTTCATTCAAATTTGGAAATTTGAAGAAGGAATGTTGTATACAACCATCATTTACTAAGGACACACTACAATCCAGACTTGTTTCATAGTCCCATCTTTCTGGAATAGGCTAATTTCATGAAGATAAACAGAACCTTAAAAAAGGTTAAGATTACTATTTTGCCTACACAGCTAGTGATTACCAAAGGTGTTCTTTGAGCTCAGCTTGCCTGATTTGGGACTCATTTTCTTTCACATTATGCTGCTTCATGCTATTCCGGAGAGAAAGCTTAAGCCAAAGGATGCAATTTCCTAGCCTTTAGAATTCTACTACCTGGAGTAGGCAGACCATGGGGGCCTTGCAGAATGGATCTGAGCAGGTTTGTCCTCACAGAAGGGCTGACTTGCATTAAACATCCCTATATTCAGCCAGACAACAGCATCCACAAAGACTAAGTCCCTTGTGTGTCACCCAGGATGCCAGGTCAGCATTCAGGCCTCACAGAGTGGCACAGATGGGAGGATGAGTTTAAAAAAAAAATGACATCTGTTCTCAAGGACCTCATACAATTTAAAGACAGAGACAATTTCAGGAAACATTCTTGTGAAAATACATATCCAAGAATCCATAGATTCACAAGGTAGAAGAAAAATCCTCTCCAGAATTCGTACTTAGAAAATAGACAGCTAAGGTGGGATTACTGGTGTCCCAAATGATCACTCTGTTTAACAACAATTTCCTACGTGATGATCACAAAGTTCTCTGGTACTTTTCAAATATGATCAGAAGGACAGGTTGGTTTTCCATCCCCTATTTCGGGAGTATTGCTCCTCTATATCACAAGGTGCACTGTGGTAAAGAAAGGCTGCCAACTCTGGCCACTTGGCCTTGCATGCTTAATGGAAGGGGGATTCAACAGTGATGTCAAGACAGAGAGATCTGATCTTGGACCACTTAATGGTAGAGGGGATTGTGGCCAGAAATCTCCAGGAGAAGAGCATATTTCACTGGAAAATCAGGAGGAGTGGGGGATGGCGTTTTGAGGTCTGACACAGACATGAAGGATGCTAAGGAGCATTGGCTCCTGGATTGGAATGGACCAGCCAGAGAGGACAGAAGGGGCACGTGTCATGTAGAGGAGGGTCACCACAGACCTGAAGCTCTGTCCTGCAGCCCACGCCTCCTGGTCCCTCATAATTTTTATGGCAAAGCTCCCATGTTCTTGGAAGTCTCAGGAAATCAATTCAGGCACCCTCCTCTCTCCTCCCTGCATGGGAAGTTCTCATTCTTTCCTGTTATGTAAAGCTCTTCTTTGCTCCTCCACTGGGGTGCTCAGCTTGATACTATAACTGTTCTAATTTGCATCCTACCTTCTCTACTAGATTATAAACTCCATGAGGGAGAATCTCAGTCTGCCTGGCTGACTCATCTCCTGTGATACCTAGCACAGAACCCGGCTTTTTTCTTTGTATACCCAAAGCAGAATGTGACACACTGCAGAGTCAGGTGGCACCAACTCTTAACAGAATCAAAGAATCACAGGTGCCCAAAAAAGGCTTTGGTGGCTGAGTAATGTGCTGACTGACCGAATGTGGAGGGCACTGGTCATCTTGTTGGTTTCTGTAAAATGTGGTCACATCTAAGCTTTGTCCCAGGACTTGACAGAGTCAATGTCCTCACTTCTCCACAACTCTGCAGCTCTCTCAATCTGGCAACCTAAGATACCAGGGACATTTCCCAGGGATCAGGCTTATCCAGGACTTGGGATACATGCTTAGAACTCCAGCATCAGGCCAGGCTTAGGGTAGACCCCTCCTCAGTCCTGAAGCTCTGTTCCAGATGACTGAGTCATCTGCTAAGGTCTCTGTGCTGTCCTCCCGTTACCAAATAGTTGGAATTCCAGCAATGAACCAGTTCATGTGGGCCTGCCCTGGCCCTCCCTGGACCCTTCTCTTGCTTCTTTGTATCTCTCCAAGTGCACCTGGTGCATCTCTGGCCACTTGGCCTTTCCTTGGTAGTCCCTTGCCTCTGCTTGGGCACAGCCCCTCATCTAGGCATTGGATTTGGGCAGATGCCAACTCTTTTATAGCTGTTGGAGGCACTTTCTGACACATGCCAACCCTGGGGCAGCTGTGTTCAAGCTGGAAAGCTCATGGTGAAGGTCCTCAGTGTGAGCTCAAGGTGAGCGTGCTGGTGTCAGTACTAAACATTAATAAGAAAAGCCTAGAATCTTCCATGAGCTCCAAAAAGTGAGAAGCTGGAACTTGGCATGCATCCTTCTCTAGAAGGGTGGCTCTTGTCCCGGCTCCACGTGCAGAAGCTGCACTTTTACTTGACCTGGGGCAACACTTGCCCCCCCAGTCCCCACATAGTGGCAAGAGAAAATCAACACTTTGGAGATCCCCTGAGTAGGGTTCAAGTTTCAGTTCT